CCCCCCCCGCAATGCCTCTGCCCAAATCTCTCCCTAAGTAGTGCAAGATCACTATGGATCACGAATAGACTTCTGCCATAGACTGCAGGATGGGGAAGGAGACTAGCTATACGCAGCCTACTCCCAAGTCTGCCACAGACTTCCCCACCCTACACACCCCAGGAGCCTTTCAAGTGGACTCAGGTGCAGACTCCCTTCCTCCCAGCAACTGCAGGTCCTGGGCCTGGCTCTCTTCCTGATCCTGGGGACACTGGTCATCCTCATCTTCCCACCCTTGATCTTCAGCCACGTGGAGGGCTGGAGCTTCAGCGAGGGCTTCTACTTTGCTTTCATCACTCTCAGCACCATTGGCTTTGGGGACTATGTTGTCGGTGAGAAGGAGATAGTCACGTATCTCATGGGGTGGGCCGGCTGGGTCTGGGGAGTTGGGGAGATGTCAGCTGAAGATAATCACCAAGGATCAGACAGCCCCTACTTATTCTGAGGCCACTGTGGATTCTCAGCGACATCCTTGGGAGGCTCTGGTCTGGGTCCCATTGCGATTTCCCCCAGTGACATCCTATGCCTATCCCAGTTATGAGAAAGAAGGAGAGCATGCCGGCTGGTGAGGGCCCCTATGAGACCTGGGGTGGCCATGCCCTCAGACATGATTCTGTCGCCTTCCCTGGCAGGCACAGACCCCAGCAAGCATTACGTCTCCATGTACCGGAGCCTGACAGCTGTCTGGATCCTCCTGGGCCTGGCCTGGCTGGCGCTGATCCTCCCACTGGGCCCTCTGCTTCTGCACAGGTGCTCCCAGCTCTGGCTGCTCAGCAGGGGTCTTGGCCCCAAGGATAAGTCAGCCCCTGACCCCAGTGGGCTTCCCAGACCTCAGAAAATACCCATCTCTGCATGAGGCCCCTGGGTGGCCCCACGACCTCTTCCCAACCTCCCCAGCTCACCCTATATGCCTGGAGCATTCCTGCCCTTCTGCCTCCCCTCCCCACTCACTTCTCACCCAGGGCTAGTCTTGGGAGCTCCCCAGAGAGAGAAAAGAGACAGACGTGCCCAAGAAAGTAACAGAGGGGAGATGTAAAGATGGGATCAAAGATTTGTGTGTGGAATGAGGCATGCACCTTCATCCCAGAGCACCTTCCCCTCAAATGTAGCCTGGAAAAGTCTAACATGGGTCATTGTAGCCAGATCTCTATTCTACTCTCCATTCCTCCCCCAGGACAGCTTATACAAACAACAAAGGGTGACTTCATTTTTGCTTCATTTGTTATGTGCATAGTGTGCACCTGCCAAGCCCCCACTACGTGCAGGTACTGTGCCTGGCTCTGAGGATGCAGCAGTGGAAGTCCCTGCCCTTGGCATGCTTTTGGCCAAGTGGGAGGACTAGACACGTAGAGGGGCAGCCCCAGGACAGCACCTAAGATGCTATGACAGGAACAGACCTAGAGGATGACAAGAGCCTGTGGGAGCGGCTAGCAAGGAGCTGGGCCCAGACTTTGGGACAGTCTTAGTGAAAACATAGTATCTGCCCTCAGGGAACTCTCAGCTGAAAGGCTTGCCAGCCCCCTTTGCTGAGAGATCTAGGGCTAAAGAAGACTTAGGACCTCTTAGGTATCCCCCCATTTTCCTGAACGTGGCCTCCCCTGACTCCTGCAAGGCACACCCTTAACCCAATCACTCCCTCTGGGTGCTTGCCTTCTTAAGAACCTTTCCATGTACCCCATGGAAGCCAGAGAGCCAGTAAATCCCAGGAGCCTTCCAGAAAATGAGCTCTATGGAGGTCCAGCCTCCCTTGGGAATGTGCTTTCCCGGCCTGGCCTTTCTCCTGCCAGACTGCAACATCTCTGGTCAGAGGGAGAGGAGAAATTTAGACTAGTCCATCCCAAGGCCCAATCTCACCAAGAACAGGAAACTTTAGCCCTGGCTCACCACTCCCCAACAGCAAGTATGCCCATAGGCTGCTTGGATCCTCCGGGCAGGACTGCAGCAAGACTGTGAAGCCGAGGAGGCTCCAGGAAGAACACCCAGGGAAGGATTGACCGCAGCCAGGGAAACCCAGCTTACACCCCAGGACTTCCTGACACCCAAGACTCTTTACACGTCCTGGACCCTTCTTCCATTCTGGGTGGAGGGGAGACTTGGGGGATGCTCTCAGAAGCAGGGAAAGAACAAGCCCCCCACCCTTGCCTCCCAAGCTCATGGGCAAGTTGCAGTCAGTTGGGGTCCTTCTTTGGGGGGACACAAAGGAAAGGACAGTAGTGTGGGAGATCCTGGGAGGACCTGACAGATAGTAAGCCCTCTGAGATAGCCCCAGGTCCCAGGGCTTGGGCAGGGGCCCTGAGACAATAAACTTGGGCCACTTTCTCTTCCCCCTGAGTGTGGTTTCCAAGAGTCCCTCCCACTGTTCAGTGCAGGAAGTGCTGGGAGGCTCTGGGCCCCTTCCTCTCAGCGCCTGCGGTCATCCAGCAGCCCTCTCCTTCTTGGTCTGGGCTTGGGAGGTGGACAAGCCTCACACTTTTGAGGCGGGGCCAAATGCCCCACACAGAGCCTCTTTTTGTCCCTAGGATTGGATCCCAAGACAGGGTGGGGCAGGGCTGTCCCATTCCCCAGTACTCTGCAGGGGAAACTGCACAGGGAGGCGTTTGCTAGAAGAAGGACCAGCAGGGCTCCTGGCCTTTCTCTCCGCCTCAGTCCTGGTTCCCGGCTCCCGGGAGCTCAGCTCCCTGCCTCTCCCGCTATGTACCGACCACGAGCTCGGGCGGCGCCCAAAGTCAGGGGCAGGCGCTGCGCCGTGCCCAGCACCATATTCCTACTGCTCGCCTACCTGGCTTACCTGGCGCTGGGCACTGGCGTGTTCTGGGCGCTGGAGGGTCGGGCGGCGCAGCTCTCCAGCCTTAGCTTCCAGCGCGACAAGTGGGAGATGTTGCGGAACTTCACGTGTCTGGACAGCCCGGCGCTGGACTCGCTGATCCGGGTCAGGGGCGTGCGGGGTCGGCCCGGGCGCGGTGGGATGGGGCAGGGCAGCGTGGGGTGCACCAGGCGACAGCGAGAGCGCCAGGCCCGGGACGGGGAAACCCCGGGAGCATACACGCGGGCACGACGGGACGGGCTTTGCGCGTGGAGGACTGGAGGGTGGGGCGGAACCCGGGGGGAGAAGACCCTGGCTCTAGCTACAGGGTTGCGCGACGCCAGGCTCCGAGTCCTCCTTTAGCGGGCCGGAGTGCATGAATGGGTCCAGTCGGGAGGCACGGGGAGCACACATCCGAATTTGGGGATGAGGACGACAGGGGCGCGTTTCCCCCGGTTAGAAGCCGGCAGAACCGACTGAGCCAGAAGGGGAAAGGGGGCTTTTGGTCCGCTGGCGGGGGTGTGGCAGGTGACAGTGGGAGCGCGGCACGGTGTTGGGGTCGGACAGAAGGCGAAGAAAGAAAGGGCACTCCTGGCGCCTTCCAGAGGGCGAACCCGGGCGTGAATATGCGAACTGGGGACGCGGATCGAAGCGGGGCTGGCCCGCGTCTAAGGATGAGCAAGACCCCTGGAGGGCAGGGGCGGGCCCGTCCGGGAGAGTGGATGGAAGGGGTTCCAAGGCGCTCTGCCCCGGCCAGCGGCAGCGGAGAGGAGGCTCACGGTGCTCGGAGTCGGCTCCAGAGCGGCGCAGGGCCGCTCTCTGGCGGAGCCCGCTTTACTCCGAGTCTCTGGACACCCAGGGCCCGGTGCGTCGTCGCCGCAGCAGCGGAGGCCCGACCCGGCTAGGCGCAGGAGAGGGAGGAGCCCGGGGTCTCTCCCCGCCTACTCATCAGAGGTAGAGACTCAGGGGGCGGAGCAGGCAGGGGAGGGTTCCCCGGCCCCGGCATTCCGCCAGGGTGGATGTCTCTTCCCACCCAAGCGACGCCGGATTGGCAGGTGCTCCACTGACCCAGGCATTCGTCCTGGGTCCTGGTTCAGTCCTCACACCTCTTCCTCCCAGAGCCCAGAACCCGGGCCTCGAGAGCTGCACGCCAGCCCAGAATCCCTGCCTGGCAGTCACGGTGGCGCCTCCGCAGAGGAGGGTATGCCCTCAGCCCCAGGCTCTCCAGCCCAAACCCAGTCCCCAGAAGGTAGCAGGGAAATGTGTCAGAGTGTGAAGGGACCGAGAGTGGAGCAGAGATGAGTTCTGAACCCTCGAACTCGGATGATTCAGTAGGGTCTGGAGGTAGGCGGGGTATGAACATCTCTGTTAGGGGCCTAACGTGATTCTTCCAACCGGCACCTGCAAACTTCTGCAAATACATCAGCTCCGCCCTAATGCTGAGGCTGTCTGACTTTAAGGCAGTGAACTCCAAGGTGCTGGGGGGGGGGGGGGGGAGGAGGATGACTGTGCTGATGACCATAGCAGTAAATGCTGTGTGCCTAGAGCTTGACACATTAACTTGTCTCAGTCTCACCTCCCTCAGGGGTAGGTACTCTTTCCACCCCCTTGTTGGAGGGGAAGAAACTGAAGGTCAGACAGCTTCGATAGAAGCACACGGCTGGGGCTGTCAGCCACCCTGAGGGCTGCCTCTGGGTGGATCTGTGCCCCACCAGGCCTCATATCTAAGAGCCCCCTAGGCTTCCCCCCAACCTCTTCCTGCTCCACCTCATCCCCTCAACCCTCCTGTGGCTTCAGACATCTCCAGGAATGTGATATCCATCCAGCTCTTCCCCTGCAACTTCTCAAATTCCTCAAGGCCAAGAGCAAGCAGTCCTCTTGTCTTCCGCCCGGCCCTGCTCTTTCACCTGTTCCAAGTCCCTGTCATTTGTCCCATGTCCACACACACTCACCATCCTCTGGGATGCCTCCCTTGCTGCCCACATGCTGCCCTGGCTGGGCTGATGGAAGAGAGATTGCAAGGACAGTGTGCAGTGTGTGTGTGTGTTGGGGTGCAGGAGCCCAGTCCCCCCACAGAGCACAGTGGTCATTGCAGCCTCTCCCCCAGGACATCATCCAGGCATACAAAAACGGGGCCAGCCTCCTCAGCAACACCACCAGCATGGGGCGCTGGGAGTTTGTGGGCTCCTTCTTCTTTTCCGTGTCCACCATCACCACCATCGGTAAGGGCAAGATGGGCCAGGGTGGATGGGGTTAGGGTGGGGGCCTCTCCCCGAGGTGCAGTGGGGCTAGTTGTCCTTTGGAGGCGTCTCCTAGGGCCTCATGAATCCAAACATCACAGTGTAGTGGACAGCATGGACACCACCTGGGAGCACGACGTCGGGCCTCACTGCAGACCTGCTGGCTCAGCCTCTGCATTTTACCCAGACTCCCAGGAACTCATGCACAATGTTCAAGTCTGAGGAACACAGTTCTAAAGGATTCTGCCTCACATAGTCTTTCAAGAAGCAGAAATCTCCAGATAGATAGAGCAAAAAAGATGCCTCTGGGCACTACAAGTGTCGTGGTGTCCTCAGCTCAGCCCGCCCAGCACAGAGTCCCGGGGTGGTGGCTGGGGGAGGTGAGGGGAAAGTTGTAAAGGAATGAGGGGCATAAATCTAAAGAAAGAGGTGTTCTGCTCCCAAGAGCAACTGGCCACCTGTCTCCCTGGCAGCAGAAGAAAACAAAGCAAAACAAAACAAAACAAAAACCGAGGCCTCTCCTCAGCTGTTATAGCCCTTCAAATCCCATCACCATTCCCGCCCCACACCCCACACACACACGGGGACACCTAGGCTAGTCCTGCCCCACAGGATGGCTGAGGCAGAACTTGTCCCAGGAGGATACTTGGGGGCTACTCTAAGGAGAAGGGGAAGAACAGGCTAGATCCCCGCAGCTCTGAAAACCGAAAAACCATACAAGCCGCCCCTACTCCCCTTTGCCCCAGCCCCTGCATGACACTAGATGTACCACTAGGTGGCAGGCTGACACCAGCGGTGACGCGGCATCCGCCTCCCACCGCCTGGCCAGCCTGGGTCTTCTCTCCATGACACCAGTATCCCAGCCTTTGTCCTCTCCAGGATGGGGTGAGGCAGAGCACACACAGGACTCTCCACCTAGTTTTAACCAGGCAGTGCTTCTCAGAAGGGGATCTCAGGGCTGCACAGGAGCTGGGCGGTCCTCGAGACAAGCGTGCTTGGGAGGCCCCCCCAACTTCATGGACCCCAGACTCCCAGAGGGACTGGCAGGATGTCACTTTTTCATCTTTACATCCCCAGGGTCTAGAACAGGGCCCAACATAGAGTGGGTGCTCACTAAACTCTGCCACGCTAAGGAACTCCATTAAATATGCACTCAGCACAGACTGAGTCCCATGGCAGCAGCAGGTCCCGAAGCACAGGTAGGTGGGTCAGGCCTCCCAGATGTGTGGGACCTTCCTACACCCTCTGCCCCAGGCCTGTGCTTCAGCCCACGAAATTCAGAGCTTCACAGCCCATCTCTTCCCATCTCTACCATTCCTAGCCTGGACTATTCCCACGATCCTTCCTTTCTATGCAGTTTCAGCCATCTCTGAGAGAGGAGGGCAGAGGACAGAGGACCCTGCCCCACCACACACACAGTACAACAGAAAACAGTTGAGGTATTCTTGTGCCAGGCACTTTGATTTTTGAGATCTCAGTTTGTGACCGGCAAGGATAGGTTTTACTATTTTCATGTCACACATGGGGAAACTGAGGCACTGGGGTGCTGTGCAACTTCCAAGGTCCTATAGCTGGTGAGCAGCAGAGTTGGAACTTGAAACCCAGCTAGAACACTGCATTGCTCTTTTTAATAGTGTCTTCCCTTGGAGGGTTTACAAGGTGGGAATTCTAAGCAACAAGGGGATAGCCATTGTGGACTGGACAATAGGGTCATGATTCTGTGATTCTCTCTTTCTCTCTCTCTGTCTCTCTCTCTCTCTCTCTCTCATACACGCGCACGGAAGAAATTCAGAGCTAGCAGGAGGAGTGGGGAGATGGGGTGCATCTGGGACACTGAAAGAGAAGGGAGGGGTATTCTGAGAGGCACGGCTGAGGGAAGCCACTTTGGCAACCCCATCACCCTGGGACTGGTGCCCTGTAAGGGCTGTACTTTCTAGGTCCTAAAACGAAAGAGGGTCTGACAGGCACACAAATACTTCTGAGCCAGTAGGATGGGCTTGAGCTCAGAAATCACGCCTCGTCTATAAACTGCATCCCTGGCTTGCTTATTTGTTCATTCGTTTGTCCATCTATTTATTCAGCAGATAAATTGTGTAGCTAGTGTGAGCTAGACTGCTCTGGGTGCTGAGGAAGTGATGCTAACCAAACAAGCTAGCCCTGTCCTTGGGGAGCTGGCCCTCTAGTGTGAAGGGACATGCCTGAATAAACAGGTACCTGGATAATCATCCGGTGGTGGAAGGTGCTTAGAGAAAGTTAGACAGTTAAGGTGGCTGAGGGATGACTGAGAATGATGGGGAGGAGAAAGTTAAAGCCAGTTTAGTGATTGGGGGGCTGCTATAGATGGGGTGGCCATGGAAGAACTTGCTAATACAGTGACATTGAAGCAGAAATGTGAGCAAAATAAGGGAGTAAGCTCTGCAGACGTCTGAGGAGAGACCCTTCTGCCAGCAAGTGCAAAGGCACTGAGGCAGGAGAGACTGGCCTATGTGGGGAAGATGGGGAGATGGGTTACATGTGAGAGGTCTGGGTGCCTGCAGAGAGCTGGAAACTAGGGCTAAGTTCAGAGAGAGTTCAGAGGAGGACCCCAATCATGCAGGCCTTACAGGGTTCCCAGAGCTCCTAGGAAGGTAAAGAGGGACAGTCAGGAGGCATGACTTGGATGGAGAGGTGGGTACCCAGCACTCAACAGGTAGGTGAGGGTTTTACTGACATCTGCTGATTGTGCTGACCCAAGGGATGACGGAGCATGATGGGGAGGAGGAAATCCCACTTAATATCAGCCTTAGCAAGCTATAGGCGTCCATGGGCTAGAATCTAAGCACCATCCTGCTGGTGAGAAGGGAATGAAAGAACCCCAGGGACAGAGGATGGAACTTGGTGTGTACTCACAGCTGGAGGAGAGATGGATGGAAATTAAGGGATGTACCTCTCTCTAGGTGCCACCAGAAATGAGAACCCCCTTCCTATAGGAGAAGAAAGCTATAAAGACCAACAAGGGAGGAGCACGGGGCCTCTAGAGGCCTCTCAAGAGGCCTTGGAAGTCCTCAGTTCAGAAGCCAGGTCAGTGGAGTTCCATCTTTTTATCCATTCATTCATTCAACAAACATTTAGTTAGCACTTTGTATACACTAGAAGCTTGAGAGCCCACAGTCCCATCTGCAGCACACCTCCATTGTCTCATTTCATCCCCACACCACCCATAGGTGGATGTCAACATTCTCATTTTACAGATGAGAAAACAGGCTCAGAAGGGTCAAGCCATTTGCTGACATTCCACAACCCACAAGGGGCGGAGCTGGGATTCAGACCTAGGAAGTGCATCAGACTCCAAAGCCTATGCTCTGGATTACACTAATTTGGCCTCTTTCAGGACCCTCAGTGAGGTGGATGGAGGAAATGGAAATGCCCAGTTTCACTATACAAAGCCCAGGGGAACTTAGGGTATGAGTGGGCTGACCCCATCTGAGGGAGCAGGAATGTCAGGCAATGATATGCGGCAGGGTGGGAGGCATTTGTTCATTTACTTACACACTCATTCACATATTAGGTCATTAAGTTTGAAATGTCTGATTTCAAATCAAAAGTTTACTTTATTATATACCAAACAGGAAGCAGTAAGGTTAATCAAAGTATGTGCCTAAACTATCAACACAGTTTTGTCCTTTCAACAGTGAAGAAGCCCGGAAAACAAGGGATTATAAAATCACAAAAGGTGTTTTCCACGGCTTATTAAGATTGAAATATTTTTCCTTGCAAGAAATGGTCCAATGCCTGGCAGAAGGGATACTCCACTGGTGCAAGGTCTGGTAAATATAGTGGACGACAGAGTTTCTGAGTCCAGCTTCTGTAGTTTGTGCAGCGTTGATTTTATGACATGTGGTCAAGCGTTGTCTTATCAGAGGATGGGCTTTGTCTCTATTGACCAATCTCAGCTGCTTAAGTGGGAGCATCCTCATTATTTCATCCAGATGGTTGCAGCAGGCAACCTCTGTAATCATGAAGCTGTAGTGCAGTGGTTCTCAGTTCCTATGGGTCATGGCCCACAGGTTGAGAACCGCTGCTGTAGTGGATAAGACCAGCTCTGGACCACCAAACACACGCCATTAGCTTTTGTTTGATGAATATTTGCTTCGGGGCTGTGTTTCAGTACTTCATCTTTATTCAACCATTGAACACTTAACGATTGTCAAAAAGAATCTATTTTTCATCGCAGATAATAATACGGTGTCGTGTGACAGCAAAGAGAAAGGCAAGATTTGAAACACTTTCTCCTCTGATGCTCATTCAATTCATGCAGAACCCATCTATCCAGTTTCTTTAAAAGGTTTCTTTTAAACTTTTCAAATGGTCCAATATCGTTGAACAGTAATGTCAAAACTTGCAGCTAATTCACGCCTCAGTTGAGATGGATCTGCTTCCACCACAGCTTTCGGCTCATCATTATCCACTTTGGTCTTAGGTCACCCACGTGATTCATTTTCAAGATTAAGATCATCCCAGTGGAATTTCTCAAATCATCCATGTACTGTGCATTCATTAGCTACATCCTTCCCAAACACTTCATTCGAAAATAACATGAAGTTTTGATTTATACTTGGTTTCACAAAGATTGCTGTAAAAAAAGTTTGAAAGATAATCACAAGCCAAAACACGCATTTGAAAGAATGAGGATGTACCTTCACAATAAAAAAAATAGTCAAAGTGAAATGTCAGAGATATCAACTGTCAAATTTAGTACTGAAGGAAATCAGACATTTCATACTTAATAACCTAATATTTCCTCATTCATTCATTTACTCAGCATTCGAACTTGTCTTTATTCAACACACACATGGTGGTGAGCACCTAGTAAGGGTCAGATCTTGTGCCAGTTGTTGAGAATGTGAAGAGGATTAAGGCCTAGGCCCTGCTCTTGAGGGGCTCACAATACCTGGGGGAGGCAGACATGGAAACAAAGCTTTCTCACCCAGTTCATTCCCCTGCAAGCCTGGGCGGAGTGCCAGGGAACCCTGAATGAGGAGCTGTTCTACTGAAGGGTCATCTACAGGTGGGCAAGGGGAAACACTGGCTCTTCATTATCATGTTCAAAGGCACGAGAGGGCCTGGGAGATTAATAGGGCAGGAGTGTAACTTGAATGTGAGACTCAGAGATAGGCTGGGTGAGAGTTTGGACTGTCCCCAGCAGACATGAGACTCCTGAAGGGTTATAGCTCAGGTAATGGTCTAATCAGGTTTGACTTGTGGTGGTGACCAAGGAAGGTTGGACACAGAAGCTGACAAGGCAGAATGTTCAGGCTGACAGAGTCCTTTGTGAATGTCTCATGCTCCCCTCGACCCCTCCCCACCATCCACCTCCCCTGGGTCTGCTGATGCTCTATCTTCTGCCCTGCCCTTCCACAGGGCTTGGGTGGGGAGCCCAGGCATATTAGTTTGGGTCTTAGAGGAATCAGGTATCAAGACAGAATCAGATGTGCAAGAGATATGTTGGGTGGGAGGATTTGAAAGATAAAGTAGAAGGAACAGGAACAGGTGGCGAGAGCCTCAGACTGTAAGATAACCTGTGAAAGAGAGAAGAAAGGTAGGAGGCTTCGGGGGGGACGTTGTGGGGGAGGATCTACAGACTGCATTGCTTCTCTGAGGATGTCTCTGCACAACCATGGGGAGCCCCGAGCAAAGGCTGCTTGCAAAAGGAGGTCTGCACTGTGCAGACATGGCCACTGTAAGAACCCGGCTGTGGCTGGAAGCAGCCTGCAGACAGTACGCCCAGCCACAGCTGGGATGGCACAGTAGATCCCCCAGGGCGCAGCAGCTGGAGTCTGTCCCTTCCTGGCCCTCTCCTGCATCCCCCTGCCCACCCAGGGAGGCAGGAAGTGATGAGAGGAAAGATGAGACCCTCATACTCAGGGGGTTTGAGTTCATGGTGCTGCCTCGCCTCCCAGAGCTTCGGCTGTCAGATCTGTAAACAGTGGTGCATCTCGAGCTGGAAGGGGGGCTGTGAGGGGATGAATGCACGAGGCCTCTGCAGTGCCGGGCACAGGAAAGGAAGGCCTTGGTGAGGACCAGCTGCCCCCATCCAGACTGGGTTAGAAGGAGGGCCCCAGGGGTCCGCCAGGGGTGGGGAGTGTGGTAGGGAGTGGACAGGCCCAGCAGACAGGCCCCTGAAGTGCCCCTCTCGCCTCAGGGTACGGCAACCTGAGTCCCCACACAATGGCCGCCCGACTCTTCTGCATCTTCTTTGCTCTTGTGGGGATCCCGCTCAACCTCGTGGTGCTCAACCGACTGGGGCATCTCATGCAGCGGGGAGTACACCACTGCGCCCGCAGGCTGGGGGGCACCTGGCAGGTGAGGATGCTGTGGGAGCAGGGGCTGGGTTACTTCAAGAACGAGGTGCTGCAGTGGGAATCTGGGTCACTGATGGGGAGAGGTGGGAGGAGGGGTTACTGGTGGGGGGCATCATTGCCCAGGATGGGATCCTGGTTGATAAAGGGATATCAGAGGGGGAGACAGGTGGGACCTAGAAGACAGGAAAACACAGGGCAGCCAGGGCACAGGTACCTGGCCCACAACCTGGGGACAGTGAACCAGTGGAAGGGGTTCCTGAGCAGCCCCCTTACCAGGGAAAGCTCTAGCCTGCCTCCGGCTCAGCCCCCCAAGCTGTCTGCTCCCTCGGCTCGAGTACTGGCAGAGGTCACAGGGGGCTGAGGCGCTGTGGACCCCGCAGGACCCCGGCAAGGCACGGTGGCTGGTGGGCTCCGGTGCCCTCCTTGCAGGCCTCCTGCTCTTCCTGCTGCTGCCGCCGCTGCTCTTCTCCCACATGGAGGGCTGGAGCTACATCGAGGGCTTCTACTACTCTTTCATCACCCTCAGCACCGTAGGCTTCGGCGACTACGTGATCGGTGAGGGGCCCCAGCGGGCAGGCTGGTGGGCGGGGTCTAGAGATTCAGCTGCCTCCACCTCCCACTCAGCTCCTCCTGCGGTCCAGGGGACATGGTCTTGCCCCCCGTCCCATGTGATGGGCTAAGGTCGCTCCTGACATCTTGATCTCGCATGTCCACCAACTGACCTATTGTGCTTAGAGCCCTCCCAATAAGGGGAGTCCCCGTCCTCCTTCTCTGTCTGTCCTTGCCCCAGGGTCTCTCCTCCCCACTTCACTCCCACACTCCATGGAGCATCAGCCCATCCCCCAGCTCCTGGGCTGGAGATCACAGCCCTCAGGATCAGGTAGCCAAGACCAGAAGACTCGTGAAACTCCAGGCTCCCCAAAATCCTGTTGGAAAACAATTGGTAGCCAAATTCTGAGTGTCAGCAAGAATAGCAAGAAAGGGCCCTGTGGCCCAGAGGACCCAATGGTCATTACCCAATATAGGTGAGACAAGGGCCCAGAAGCCACTCAGCGTAGAAAAGCTGAGGTAGATGCCCAGCAGGTGGCAGCAGGGACATTCAGCGCAGTGACAGGGTGGCTG